AAGAACCTTGAAAAAAGATTTGATGAAATGCTAATGAGAATAGACAATTTAGAGAGGAATATAAGTGAATTGATGGAGCTGAAAAACACAATACAAGAACTTCATGAAGTATGCGCAAGTTTTAACAGCTGAATTGACCAAGCAGAAGAAAGGATATCAGAGGTCGAAGATCAACTCAATGAAATAAAATGAGAAGACAAGTTTAGGTAAAAAGGAATGAGCAAAGTCTCCAAGAAATACGGGACTATGTGAAAAGACCTAATCTATGTTTGATAGGTATACCTGAATGTGACGAAGAGAATGAATCCAAGCTGGAAAATACTCTTCAGGATATTATCCAGGAAAACTTCCCCAACCTAGCAAGGCAGGCCAATATTCAACTCCAGGTAATACAGAGAACACCACAAAGATACTCCTCAAGAAGAGCAACCCCAAGGCACATAATCATCAGATTCACCAGGGTTGAAATGAAGGAGAAAATGCTAAGGGCAGCCAGAGAGAAAAGTCAGGTTACCCACAAAGGGAAGCCCATCAGACTCACAAAAGATTTCTCAGCAGAAACCCTACAAGCCAGAAGAGAGTGGGGGCCAGTATTCAACGTCCTTAAAGAAAAGAACTTTCGACCCAGAATTTCATATCCAGCCAAACTAAGTTTCATAAGTGAAGGAAAAATAAAATCTTTTGTGAACAAGCAAGTACTCTGAGATTTCATCACCACCAGGCCTGCCTTACAACAGCTTCTGAAAGAAGCACTACACATAGAAAGGAACAACTAGTATCAGCCAATCCAAAAACATACCAAAAGGTAAAGAGCATCAACATAATGAAGAATCTGCATCAACTAATGGGCAAAACAGCCAGATAGCATTAAATGGCAGTATTAAATTCACACATATCAATATTAACCCTAAATTTAAATGGACTAAATGCCCCAATCAAAAGACACAGAAAGGCAAATTGGATAAAAAGCCAAAACACATCGGTATGCTGTATCCAGACCCATCTCACATGCAAGGATACACAAAGGCTCAAAATAAAGGGATGGAGGAAGATTTACCAACCAAACGGAGAGCCAAAAAAGCAGGAGTTGCAATTCTCATCTCTGATATAGACCTTAAAGCAACCAAGATCAAAAGAGACAAAGAAGGACATTATGTAATCGTAAAAGGATCAATGCAACAAGAAGAGCTAACGATCCTAAATATATATGCACCCAATACAGGAGCACCCAGATACATAAGGCAATTTCTTAATGACTTACAAAGAGACTTAGACTCCCACACAATAATAGCGGGAGACTTTAACAGCCCATTGTTAATATTAGACAGATCAACGAGACAGAAAATTAACAAGGATATCCAGGACTTGAACTCAGACTTGGACCAAGCAAATCTAATAGACATTTACAGAACTCTCCACCCCAAATCCATAGAATATACATTCTTCTCAGTACCACATCACACCTACTCTATAAGTGACCACATAATTGGGAGTAAATCACTCCTCAGCAAATGCATACCATTTCACAGGTTTAAATGAAATATTGGTTGGCTGCTTGTTTGTTATCTTCCTCCCTTATTCCTTCCTGTCTCCATTGTCAAGCAGAATAATTGGCATAAAAGAGGTTTTCAATACCCATTTTTAGACTGCATTCCAGCCTGGGCAATAAAGCAAGATTCCCATTCTCTCTCCCTCTTTCTCTTCCTCATTCTTTCTCTCTTTCTTTCTTTTCTTTCTTTCTCTTTTTTCTTTTCTTCCTTTTTTCCTTTAAAAAAATAATGTAAGTAAACTCCATGGTCTGAGTAAAATCACTCACGACAATCCATCAGTTATCAGTGTTATGCACCTATTTGGAATGACAACTGGTATTCAAGAGGCTATAAGTCTAATGTTAATTAAGCATGGACTCATGGAGAACCAGGATAGACACCTTGTTCCTGAATCCTTACAGCTTTTACTATTAAAAGTTCTGGGTCGGGCACAGTGGCTCATGCCTGTAATCCCAGCACTTTGGGAGGCTGAGGCGGGCAGATCACCTGAGGTCTGGAGTTCAAGACAAGCCTGATCAACATGAATAAACCCCATCTCTACTAAAAATACAAAGTTAGCCAGGCATGGTGGCGCATGCCTGTAATCTCAGCTACTCAGGAGGCTGAGGCAGGAGATCGCAGAGGCTGTGGTGAGCCGAGATCATGCCATTGCACTCCAGCCTGGGCAACAAGAGCAAAACAAAAAGTGTTGCATTCCATGACTCACCATGGAAAAGATAAAATGAACCAAACTGAATACATTGGTAGAGTGACCTTTTTTTTTTTTTTTTTTTTTTTTTTTTTAATAAGAGTGAAATAGAATTTCACTCTTGTTGTCCGGGCTGGAGTACAATGGCACAATCTTGGCTCACTGCAACCTCTGCTTCCCGGGTTCAAGTGATTCTTCTGCCTCAGCCTCCTGAGTAGCTGGAGTTACAGGCCACCACACCTAGCTAATTTTTGTATTTTTAGTAGAGATGGGGTTTCACCATGTTGGCCAGGCTGGTCTTGAACTCCTGACCTCAGGTGATCCAACTGCCTCAACCTCCTGAAGTGTTTGAAACAGGGAGGCGGAGGTTGCCGTGAACTGAGATCATGCTACTGCACTCCAGCCAGGGTGACAGAGCAAGACTCCGTCTCAAAATAAATAAATAAAATAAATAATAAAAACAGGATCACCACGCTAGTTTTAATTCTTTCTGTTTACTCTTTATTGGATTTAACAGAAATAAGAAAGAAAGTAGAATGAATTGCTAAACCTCAGAAAAAAAGTTTTTTACCACAAGAAATATTAGTTCTTATAAGTTTCCTATAAACTTAAGGAAAAAGGGATTTTGATAATACTAATTATTATAAATAAGTGATTCAATTTTAAACTATCAATTCACCCCCTGCTGTAAAAGATGCTCATACTTCCACCTCTTGATTTAATTATATTTACATGCTCATAAAATCAGTGTGCAGGTTAAACAGCTGATTAGATATAGTGCAAGAGAGAATTCATGAACAGACGATAGATCTGAAGAAATTACCTAGAATGTAGCACAGAATCTAAAAATCTAGAGAATATGAGAAAAGACATGAAACAGAATGAGAAGGTCTGACACACATAATATCCAATGGGGGTTCCTGAAAGAAAGATAAAACTTAAGAAGGGTCCTGTTATGGACTAAATTTTTGTATCTCCCAATTCATATGTTGAAATCCTAACTCGAAAGGTGATAGTATTAGCCTAAAGTCTTCAGTAACCTGTTAAGCTACTAGAACCTACTGCATGCTTTCTGGGGTGTGATTGTGAGGACCTATGCAACAGCCTCTGTCCAACTGGGCGTTTGAGCCTCTTGGTTTCTAGGCAATTTCTCTATATAATTTTATTCTGTGTATTGTTATGTTAATGAATTCAAGGGGTCTTTTATATTTTTAAAAATATGTAGTGTTTCACCCTGCATTTTATTGCTTTAGAAAGAAAATAGACTAATGGCATGTACTATTTTAAAGATTACTCTTTAAAAAAACAAAACAAAACAAAGCCCTCTTGTGTTCTGAGGAGGGGGATGTCTCTTTAAAAACAAATTTTCTCAAGAGAACCCTTGTTCTACATAAGTAGATGGCCACTCTCAGAAGCCAAGAGAGCAACTGTTTCAGGTTCTTTCAATTTTCTTTCCAGTCTCAACAGTCAGTGCATGGAGCTGTCCAAGGTTTTTATTTCTTGCCCTTCCTGTTCCTGATCCCTTTAATCATCACACAAACAGGCGGCAGAGAGAATAGTAATAAAGAACACCAACTCTGAAGTCAAACGAACTGGGTTAGAGTCCCAGAGCCAGCATTCGACAGCTGTGTGACCTTGAGCAAATCCTATAACCTTTCTGGGCTTCAGTTTCTTCATCTATCAAAACAAGGATGACAGTAACAGTACCTAACTCATAGATTATTGTGAGGATTTAATCAGTTACTCTTTGTAAAAGTGTTTATTACAATGCCTGGCAAATAGCAAAAAAGGAATTTTGGAGTTCCCTAATTTCTACCGTAAAAGAACTTTATACATGGGTTATTTTGCTACGCAACACTTTTGCTCTTGTAAGTATTGCTCTGGCAATCAATACAGGATGGACAGCTGGAGGAAGCAGAAAAAAAGCTCACAAAACTATGCCTTAGGGTGTCTAGTCCTGGCTCTGCCATTAATCAGCGGTGTGACCCTTGCCAAGTTAACTGACTCCTCTGAACTCGGTTTTTTTTTTTCTTCCCTCTGTAAAAGGAAGGGCTTGAACTTCAGTAAATAACCTTTATGTTTTAGTATTTTCTGACTCCCATTTCCAACTCTGCATTCAATCTAGTGACGGCATTTCTAGTGTGTACACTAGAAAAATAAGCTTTAGCATCTGAGGATCATAGCTAAGAGTATCTCCGTAGTAGGAGATTAGGGAGCCACTGACAAAGTGGCACCAAAAGAACCTGATGTATGCCAGGAATCCAGGCATGAGCACTTCTTTCTGCAGAACCTAAACCCTGCTCTACTCACCCAGAGGAGCTGTGACCGTGGTTTCCTGGAAACTCCTTTTCTGTTGGGAGGATTACTGGGTCACAGACTTCCAAGGACATGGAAACCCTTGCTGGAGCGCTGGAACGGCTCAGCACGAGGCGTACGTTGGGGCGAGCTGTGTCAGTCCGCTTTTGCCGTTTGGCCGCTCCCATCCAGGCTCTAGAAGGGGTCCTCTTTGCGTCAGGCCCACCCGTCTCCCGGAGCCACTGCACTGGGTGTCCCTGCGCCTTGCGTCCCCTCTCTCTCGCCCCTCCCTCCTGGCTGCCATAGAAAACCAACCTACGAGGTCCAGGCCGGCGTCCGAGTGCACTACCGGCCTCCTGTCCCTCCTTCCCCGGGCCAGCCCCCTGCTCCGGATTGGTCCTTCGGGAAACGTTGCAGGGCGTCTCCGTCCCCGCTGCGGAGCAGGGGCCAAAGCCAAGCCGGAGGGCGGGGTTTGCCCTGGGCCGCTGTCGGTCAGGTCCGCCGCCCCTGACAGCTCTGGAAGCCTCAGGCGCGACAGGGGTGCCCTCACCTCGGGACATCCACTCACCGACCGCGCCTGCTCCAGCGGAAACCGCTGCGTTCGCCTGGCCCGGCGCCGCGCAGCAAAGCCCGAGAGCTGGCCTCTACTCGAAGGTAAGCGAGGGGCCGCGCGGCTTGCCGCCAGCACCCCACCCCGCCACCCTTCCTCTGCTAGGCTGCAGACCTGGGTGGCTGGAGAGGAGGCGACTCTCCTCCCCGCGACCCAAAGCAGAAAGGGAGTCCTGCCGCGGGGTGCCTGCGAAGTGGGGTCAGGAGAAGGTTAGTTGCTTTCTGGGGCGCTTCCCACACCCCCCTCCTGCCACCGGCTCAGGCCGATCCGCTCTAGAGGCGAGGGCTTTAGAGCCAGGGCGAGGGCGTGATCGCGCGCGTGTGCCCGTGTTATGTGCGGCGCCCGTGTCTATGTGTGCGCGTGTGTGCACCCGTGTCCCTGTATGGTGTGGACACTCCTGTCTGCGTGCACGTCCACATGTGAGCCAAAGAGGGCAGCTTAGCGCCTCATGGTGCACACAGCGGGTGCGCTGGATCAAAGCCCCAAGACACCAGCCCAAATCTAGATAGCTTGTTACAAGGGTAGAGGACCTGCGTGACCTTCCCACGCGCGCCGGCCGGTGCTGGCGATGGAGGGAACTGACATCTAACGCCGGTGGCCCAGGGGACAAAACGGCACATTGCACCCCACGCCGCGACTCTCCCCACCGAAAAGTGCTTCTTTTGGAAGACCCCATGAAAGCAGGGAGAGCCTCTTTTCTTCTTCCTGGATATCCCTCCAGGAATATTAGAAGCTCCAGGACTTCTTGATACGGCCAGGAAGAGATCGCAACTGGGTCTTTAAAATATCGATTCCTACCAGCTTCTGCGTGCCTGACACATCTGGGCAGATGGAGAGGTCAAGGCAATAAAGGTGCTTTTATCTCTAATAAGGGCAGCGAAGATTCTGCTATCGGCACTTTTTTCCTTTCCGTTTTCCCCCCCTCCTTCCCTCCCTTTCCCTGTTCTCCCTCCCTCCTTTCCTCCTCCTCTCCCCATCTTTTCTCCCCCTCCCCCCTTTCTCCCTTTCTGTCTCTCTCTTTCCCCCTTCCCTCCCCTGTTTTCGTCCTGAGTATAGTAGACAAGAGGGCTCTCTGTCTACCCACCCTCCCCCACCCCATTCCTCATCCCTTTTCAAAATAAGAGCGAATGAATCACATTCTAAGCTCTCACCCGTGCAGTTCAGACAAGTTTGGAAATTACACAAATCGCGTTTGCAATCGAGGCCGCGGAATCCAAAAGGAAAACAAAACCAGACCAAAAAAATGGATTCCAAGTCAAGATTTCAAATAGGAATCTAAGGTGAATATTTGTTTATGGCAATAAGATTTTTTTAATGTTTGAAAAATATGTATCACACAGGCCGGCATCATCAGTATTCAATGTGATTTACAGAACCACTTCAAAAGATGGTTTCTGTTAGTGTTGCAACAGGACTTCTAATTCTGGTTGTCATGGTTACTGAAGAAGTCGCCCTACACTATTAAGAAACTGGCTAGAACCAGGAACTGTTCTTGAGAGAACTTTCTCATGTACCCTCGTGTCACTATGGTAAAATTGAGTTTACGAAAATGTACTTACTTATTCCCTTAAAGTACTAAAATCCAAGGCATGCTGTTGTTTTTTTATTTTATATTTTCAGAGTTTGCAGTCTGTGCAACACAGTCTCCTTCTCAGACAAATGAGAGTAAACACTGCCCTCCAGCACGTTAAATGGCCCCAAATAGTCATGCCGCCCAGCTCTCTTCCCACAGCTCACTGCACGAACAGAGGACAGAGGAGGGTGTTAGATGTTCCAGGAATCCTGGCCTGAGCCCAGATGGCCCTCTCCATTTAGCATTTAAATTTGAAATCCTAATTAGCTTCCTAATTAGGATATGGGGAATGTGGGTGGGGGTCTTGGGAGAGGCTAGTGGGGAAAAAGCTGAGTCCAACTCCCCATGGACTGGTGTTTGGTGTGGGATTGAATTTGCCTAGTAAACCCTCATGGGTTTATTTTTGGCTGGACCACTGTTAAGTGGTAAGCCTGGAAAAATCTCCAGAGAAGCCTCCTTCTGTGTTAGGAAAAAATATGGATTGGCTATTTGGTTTGAGGTGTGTGCTTTTTTTCTACCTACGTTTAAAATAAAGACAGGTTTATATGAAATCTAAATTCCCCAGTAAAAAACTACCGTTAGGTCATACAGCCCTTTATATTCTTGGTTCAACCCTAGATTTTTAGTTGAGAAGGCTTAATTTGGGGCAAGTAGTGGTACCATTTCAAATACTTTTATCAGCAAATGTTGGTTTCGTTAAAGAATCGTAATTCATTACATATCCACAATTTCTGAGCTTCGAATTCTAACATTGATAGCATTGGACAGTTTGAAGCCCTTGCACTTACAGTTTTGTTTTCCTTTCCTTTTGTTTTCAGAGACTGGGTCTCACTATGTTGCCCAGGCATATCTCAAACTCCTGGGAGTAAGGGATCTTCCCGCCTCAGCCTCCTGAGGAGCCGGGACTACATGCGCTTGCCAGACTTATTATATATTAAAAAAAAAAAAAAAGAAAAGCAAAGATTTTTGTCTTAGTAGGTTAATGTTTTTAGTCTCATTTATAGTTCCATTTTGAGAAACATAAAAATTAAAATATAACCTTAAATCCAACTTTATTCTTTGAATCCAATCACTGTATGTCTCTAGGGTTTCAAGAACTTTAATTCATGGTTGATTTTCTTTTACTTGCTGAAAGAACAAACTGTTCATAAACTTGGTTTCATTCTGTATTTTGTCATTTCTTATTGTCATTCTAGAAAAAGGTCTCTAGAATTGAAGTTTTAATTTTCAGGAGAAGAAGAAAATATTCAAATTGCTTATGAAGATAGTAGTCTACAACTTGAATTAACCACAACATGGTTCTTAAATTACTTTCTCTCAAGAACTTCAAGGTTAGCTTAGCCATTATTATACAGCATCCTGAGGAATAGTAGCCAGTTTTACAGATGGACAAGTTGTGTTCAAAAGCCAAGTGATGGCTTGGCGCTATTGCTCAGGCCTGGTTACCTAATACTTTGGGAGGCTGAGGCAGAAGGACTGCTTGAGCTCCAGAGTTCGAGACCAACCTGGGCAACATAGTGAGACTCTGTCTCTATGTGAGACTCAGTCTCTTTAAAAAAATTTTAAGGCCGGGCGCGGTGGCTCAAGCCTGTAATCCCAGCACTTTGGGAGGCCGAGGCGGGTGGATCACGAGGTCAAGAGATCAAGACCATCCTGGTCAACATGGTGAAACCCCGTCTCTACTAAAACTACAAAAAATTAGCTGGGCATGGTGGCGCGTGCCTGTAGTCCCAGCTACTCAGGAGGCTGAGGCAGGAGAATTGCCTGAACCCAGGATGTGGAGGTTGCGGTGAGCCGAGATCGCGCCATTGCACTCCAGCCTGGGTAACAAGAGTGAAACTCCGTCTCAAAAAAAAAAAAAAAATTTTTTTTTAAATTAGCTGAGTGTGGTGGTACATGCCTATAGCTCCAGCTACTGGGTAGGCTGAGGTAGCAGGATCACTTGAGCCTGGGCGGTTCAAGCCTGCAGTGAGCTGTGATTATGCCACTATGTTCCATCATGGGAGACAGACAAGACTCTGACTCAAAAGAAAAAAAAAAAAAGTGATTTCAGCTAACCACTTGGAAAATCGAGACAAAAATCAAACCATGTTCAAATAAGGCAAACGCTGAGCTGTGACAAATCTGGCTGTTTCTGTACCTCACTTTCATTTTCTGTGCATCACTTTTCTTTTTCTGTCCATAAATCTTCTTCCACCATGTGTCCGCACTAGAGTCTCTGAGCCTACTCTGGCTTGGGAGGCTGCCCAATTCATGAATAATTATTTGCTCAGTTAAACTCAGTTAAACTTAATTTGGCCAAGGTTTTTCTTTTAACAATAGTCATACAGTATATTAATCTATGGTGTTTCTTTATTGAACTATGTGACATTACCAGATCTAGTCTCAACTTTCCATAAAAAATCCCTCCTTTGGCTGGTCACAGAGGCTCACACCTGTAATCTCAGCTCTTTGGGAGCCCAAGGCATGCAGATCACCTGAGGTCAGGAGTTTGAGACCAGCCTGACCAACATGGAGAAACCCTGTCTCTACTAAAAATACAAAATTAGCCAGGCTTGGTGATGCATGCCTGTAATCCCAGCTACTTGGGAGGCTAAGGCAGGAGAATCCCTTGAATCCAGGAGGTGGAGGTTGCAGTGAGCCAAGATTGCGCCATTGCACTCTAGCCTGGGCAACAAGAGTGAAACTCTGTCTCAAAAAAAAAAAAAAAAAAAAAAAAATTAGCCTTCTGTGGCTGTTCTGAATGACTCATGTGTGACAGTTTTGCTCATACTTCTTGTAGAAGGTATGAAAATATTTGCAGTCCCAAGGTTTAGAGATGAGAGCAGGTGTACCAATCTACAGCTTGAAATTGAAGCAGATCCGTCTATACGTATGTGTTATAGAACACAAGACTAAATATACCATCTTAAGCATATCCACACATGGCCAGGTGCGGTGGCTCACACTTGTAACCCCAGCAGTTTGGAAGGCCGAGGCAGGTGGATCGCCTGAGGTCAAGAGTTTGAGACCAGCCTGGACAACATGGTGAAACCCCATCTCTACTACAAATACAAAAAGTTAGCCGGGCATGGTGGCAGATGCCTGTAATCCCAGCTACTTGGGAAGCTGAGGCAGGAGAATCGCTTGAACTCAGGAAGCGGAGGTTGCAGTGAGCCAAGAACACACCACTGCACTCCAGCCTGGGTGACAAAGCAAGACTGTCTCAAAAAAAAAAAAAAAAAAAAGCATATCTACATGCAAAAAAAGAAGCAGTTGAGATTTTATTTATTTAGTTAGTTATTTAGTTAGTTTTTGAGACAGGGCCATACTCTGTTGCCCAGGCTGGAGAGCAGTGGCACATTCATGGCCCACTGCAGCCTCTACTTCCCAGGTTCAGGTGATCCTACTATCTCAGCCTCCCTAGTACCTGGGACAACAAGCACATGCCACTATGCCTGGCTAATTTTTTATATTATTTGTAGGAATGGA